CATTTTTTGATACATCCATCGATATCCATGCATTACTCCTGATCCTCGTTGTTCAGACTGTATAAAATCAGCAACTGTCATAATGTCAGCCTCATGTTTATATCTGTACAATGATGCTTTGTGCAAAAGCCTTATCAATTGTCTGCTACTGAGAGAATATCCGTGTCTATGGTTTAAAATCCAACAAATGTCATCATGCTTTAAACCTAATAAGAAATAGTTCTTCAACAGCTCGCCACGATAATCAGCCATTATATAAGTGAAAGAGAGGCTGACATTTATTCGTTTAAACGGAATAATAATTCGATAAAACGAAATGATATTTCGAAAAAACGAAATAATAATTCGTTATAATGAAATAATATTTCGAAATAACGAAATAAAAATTCGTTATACCGAAAAAACATTTCGAAAAATCGAAATAGTATTTCGAAAAAACGAAATAATAATTCGTTAAAACGAAATAATAATTCGTTAAAACGAAATAATAATTCGTTTTAACGAAATAATCATTCGTTTTAACGAAATAATAATTCGTTTTAACGAAATAATAATTCGTTTTAACGAAATAATAATTCGAAAAAACGAAATAACAATTCGATAAAACGAAATAAAATAAGTGTGTAGCATGTCAGTTAACGGGCTCCGTACTTTTCACATATCTTTGTATTGTTACGTTTATAGTTTACAGGAAACTTGAACAGTGAAATCTTGCACCCGTTTACACGGTGGATCAATCGTAGGGTAAGAAACAGTGAAAGGGGACGTCACGATGAATGGACTTCTTTTGAAAGAAACTGTACTTACGAATCCATTAACCTCCCCCAGGTCACTTTAGAAAAAGTTCATGTTTGAGAGAGAAAAATAAATATGTGTCCCGGGGGCTTTCAACGACTTTTCATGCCCGGTAAATCTCAAGATTTAATCAGGCACAACGACATACGAACATCCTGTCATCTGCATTTTGAATAGAGGATTGCCAAATAATGTTTACAAAATATCTAAATACCAATGCATCTGTTTGGTAAACAAAAAATTATGGAAAGAGTTTGAAATTGGTCAAAAAGTGAATAGATATGCACAAATGTTTTATCCTGGTTACGTACCTGTGTTTGGGAGTATTCAGAAATATAACCGACATCACTGCATGCAGTCCGACAAAAACAGAACTCACACATGTCAACGCCAAAACAAACCTCTGATACTTTCCAAATTCTCCAAGTCGGTTAAAAATGTTGTCCAACGCCATTTTGAGAACACTAACACGGCACAGTTACGTTTGCAGTTTGTGAATGCGTTACTCAGTTAACCGTGTCTGAGAATACTTCAGTCACCTGAAATGATCGGATATTAACCGGGCAATACTAATCCACGCCTGGTTAGCTTTCCCATTCTAAATATAGTAGCATACACTGGTCACAGATATAAATGCGGTAAAATTATATAGCATTAATGTTTGCACTCTTTCATTACGAAAGAATTAGGCAGGTAACATGTCTTTCAATATGAAGACAAAATGGTTTTCTTGAAAACTATTTGAAGTTTTGAATGAAAAAGAAATATAACTGCAGTAATCAATCATTGTAACGTGCACCATACTTTCATCATAGTAAATCTGTGGGTAGCATGCGTTATTTAGATATTTGACATTTCAAGGCAACTTAAACATACCAAGCATGATGAGTGGCTGAGATTATGCTCCTGCAGATTTTGACACTGCTAAACTTTTTGTTTGAGTCATGCAAATAAATAAAATCGTTGAGGATGTAATCTGGAGCAACATTATTGCATTAAAAAAGGACTTCGATTCTCCACGTGGTGGATGGTAAGCTTTATCAGATCCGTGTCAAGGTCAAGGTATTCATCTTCTATGTATAGTCATCTTCTCACATGCTGTGGTAACCAGTATACTTATAATTTCCTACATAATGGTTAAAATCCCTTTGTATGGTTATGCACTAAACAGTTGAATGTTGTTACATAAACGAAATACTGCTTAGAATATGTTATGCAGTACCTCTAAATTATGACTTGCATACAGTTGTGAAGTATGCACGTAAATTCATTGGATATCATAAGTCGATTGAGTAATCGGTGCCCTCACAGTGTTTGTATTTTCATTTTAAAATGTACGAAATAGCTTGACCACATGTCAACGACAATAAGAGTCAAACTTGGAGATATCATGCACAAATCTTTCTTGTTAATGGTATTTTGACCAGTTAACAACTGACAATATCCCAGTATTCTGCATTGCTTACGCAACCCTCAAAATTAAATCTCTATGCACGCTCTGAACTATGTTGGATGGAAAAATCAAAACATTTATCCTACTGAAATCACTGGTAAGTCCCTATTCCCAATTCTCTATGATTAACAGATCTGGTATCTCCAAGGTTCAGGATATATGCTATATAGATATAGTATTTTTACTCCAAATATCTGTCCAGACGCGTCTGTCTCATCGTTGTACGACATTGATCTACTGATGAAATAAACAAGGTCCAATGTTACTTTCTTTCAGAATATCTTATTTTACTGATCTTATGTACAACATATATTAAGCAAAAGGCATAGCCTAAATAAGCCCTCTCCTTACACACAATAACAGTTTAAACACATCATATAAACGGTACTTTTACATATGTTTCTTTAAGTATTAAAATAAGAGATTATCTTTGTACTTTGATTCTGATTGGACAATATCTATTTAAATTATCGCAATTGTTGTAAGAGGGGTTATTAGACAATACTATTTGAGAATCTAATAAAAATGTCCACAATATTTATATATTTACGTCTTTTGATTGAAAACCATAATAAAAGCTTGGGTATTGAGTGGAATAGCAAAACCCATTGCTGACAGAGAGTTTAGTAATATTTGTATTTGGTTAGTATAAAGAGGACAATGCAAGAAGACACTGTCTGCTCGGTATCGCTGTTACAGACTCACGGGTAGTAATATCTGAGTTCTAAAAGCGTTTAACACCATTGTTATGACAAAATGTGTATAATAACGCTAATAAAATTGAATAACATTCCTTTTATTATTTTCGCCATTAAGTTTTTTCTGTTTTCGGATTGTGTGAGTTTGACCCGTGTCCTTTAATACGAAAGCATCGGCTTCTTTGCTTTACCAAAATACACCTTCGTTGCACGGTTTCACCGGGTAAACATTCCAAACGTGATACGTCGCAGTGCTGAAGAGTTACTATTTTTGAACAAGAAAATAAAACCATTTTAACAATAATAACGTGATTCGAATAAAGTTCTCCTATCTTAATGGCAATTGCATTTCCGAAGCAACTGAAAGTAGTTAAAGGCTGAGTTGACCTCTTATATTTATCGGATGATCTTTATTGTGACGTTATATCGGTTTTCCATTTAATTGCGCTCTTGACATATATTCTTTTCATTTCGCCTTTTCTCTTTCAGAGGTTTTGTCCTTTTTACCTAGTTACATGCATTTGAAGTCCTGTTCGGACCAAATTTCCAAAAGAATATGATCGATTAAAGGTAAATTTACTGAAAGTAATACATAGGGGATTTTTGCGAAATAGTCAACATTCAATTTACATTAACTTACACAATTACTTTCATAACTCGATTTCTATGAAACCGGCTTTGTAGATAATTTATTGGAGTTGAAGATATATAATTCCAGGGTTTAAGATGAATGCTTGATGTTGGCTAAAATAATTCCAGTCATAGCATACTTTCTTTCAGAACATTAAAAAATACTTTATGGGGGTGAGGAATAGGGGGAATAATTAATGTGGAATGAACAATTTGTGTATACGTTAGGATTCAAGATGGCCACCACGACCTTTATATGGCTGCGATTATTACAGCTACAACCATAGTTCTATTTAGCCTTTTTTTGATACCTTGTGTGAGAGAGATATAAAAAGTATGTATTTTATATTGATAAACTGGAGGCACGGTAGTCTATTGGTAGGACGTTGGGTTCGTGACAGAAGGATCGCGGGTTCGAATCCCGTCATGGCATTGTGTTGTAATACCTTGAACAAAATACTTTTCTCCGCTTGTTCCAGTATACTCAGATGTTAATGAGTATGTGGTTTGGCAGTGCTGGAATTGTTGAATGCTAGCTGTGAGCATCTTTTGGAAGCACCGACTGTATGTTCCGCAGGAAGTTGCGAAATGTATTGGCTGGTTGCAAAAGCCCAATTAACACGGATAATAACTTGTGAACCGCTTTGAGACGATCTAGGTTGTGGTAAAGCGGTACATTACACCCTCACATTAGTGTTATTTTAACTTACTTTCAAGAGTTAAAGATTGCTGTCTTGACCTCGCAATGTGTAATACGTAATAATACATTAATGATCTTAAGTTGAGTTTCTGTTGGACAAATTGTATATCATATTTAGCAATGCATCGCTTGCAACTGCTGGAATAGTTTGGGCGTGGATGTATAGTTAATAAAGCCTATTTATTCAGAGTTTGTTAAATAACAATTTTAGAAACACCAGGTACCATTGTGATCATTCTTGGACAAACATCGCTTTGCGCGTGTGTACGTTTTAACAAAAAGAACTATGACACACCTCGTATTTTCTGTTTTATACTTTTATCTTAGGGAGCAATTGTAACTTCATTTCCAATTAAGGATAGACAAAAATAGACACATGCAATCTGTGCCGTATTGTCATAAATGAAACACTAAACAAAAGTTGTATAGTTTAATTAACATAACCACATAAGCACAGGCTTTATACATGTACAAGATCCCACGGTTACTCCTATGGAAATCTGTACGGATATCCCGAGCAGGACGACTGGCTTGTGTTTGGAGATGAAGGACAGCTATACATCCGTCTGATTACCTCTGCGTCATTTCTACTCATCTCTGTGGATCGGCCGATCCTATTGAGGAACTGATTTCTATTTGCTCGCGGTCTTGGTACGATGGTGAATCGACCATTTCGGCTAAAGGCCTGAAACAGGGAGAAACAGTTTGTTTGCCTCTGTATTATGATGGAAGATCAATTAATACTCTTCAAAAAAACTTCGTATTACATAAAACAAAAGATAATAAATAAATAAATAAAAAAGAAATTGGATCACTAACCAATGTGACTGTAAGTAAAACATTTTAAGGGTCACCGTGCCACGGTTAAAGGGTGTACTACATTTAACAGTATTGTATGTAGAATAGGTATACTTAAATAATTCTCAAAAGAAACTCATGCCTTGCAGAAATATATTGAAAAATGATACAGATAAAATAACAGATGAAATAAACAAATCATCAATTGCAGAATTTTTGAGTAAAATGCGAGGAGGCAAGCTAGACCAGGTTTCGAACCTCTGATCACAATACGGTCCCTCAAACCAACTTGGTTTCCAACTCAGCGGTTATTTCCCGGCCTTGTCACACTACAGTCATATCATATCATATTTAGCTTGTTTCAAATGATAATGGACTGCTTTAGATTTAGAAGTGCTTCACGCAGCTACATAAACTCAATAAAAGGAAGTGATTGGTCAACCACTATCTTATTTCATGAGCAACTACTAGGCAAATGAAAACATTCTGTTTTCATCGGTGAATGCATTATTAATGAATTCATTTCCATATTACATAATGTTCTTAATGGTTAGCTAACAGCATATACGTTCACGCATTGTGCTACATAAAGTATTTCTTACCCTGTTGCTGTAGTGCATAATGCTTCGATAGTCGTATGGGAGCCCCCTGGAGTCAACAGTTAATCTGCTGAGTCGCCTGAAATTTCCACGTTTGCCCGGTTCCACGTTCCTCATGAAGATGTTGACAAATTGTGATCTGTCTGGTCTAGATTGCTCATGAAAAAGACCGATCACATGAAGGAACTCGTGTGTAGCAATACGTGTCTGAAATGAATAAACATACAGTGCATTAGGATCGACATTGGTATGTAGTACAATTCACTAAATTAGGTTTCTGCATGTATTGATGGTTAATACCATGAACAACAATTTGCTGTAATATGATGCCTTTGTATCACATCTTCATTCGGGGTTTATTAACTAGGATCACATAGAAAATTGCCCGGGAAAATAAACCCCAATTATAAATCTGCGCGTGTTATCACCATTTATCAACGAAAATAAAATTTCGATACAAAACTTCAAGAAAGAGAAAGTTAAAGTGGAGATATATCTTACAGTCATATACTCAGCTAGGCTCAGATACCAACCCACCAATAAATATAAACAAGATGTGTGCTTAGATAAATCAATTTAATTTTATAGTTAAATTTTGATATTTTAATAGATATATTAAATCGTAACCTCAGCCTAAATAATGTGTATCTACTTCTATTAAATCACAGTGATATGATCCAGCAATTTATATATAAATAGATATGAAAAAAACTAATATTAGCATTGGCTAACTCGTAACTCATTTCTTTTTGCCATATAGTGTATGAAATCACAATGTATACAAATTACTTTAATTGTTCCGTAATTGTCTGTAATCAATACCCCGGTAAAATATGTATCTATATTGGCTAAGTATGTAATGCGATATACGCAATGACATTTGTTATAAATCGAAAAAGATTTAATCTTTGATCTTACTATTCTGCACCTCGGTGCCAAAGTGAGATCCTGAGACCTGGTGCCGCCCTGATTACGTAGGTTTCTTCCAACACGAGATCGGCATCTGATTCAAATATTTTGAACTCATAATGACATTTTTGTTAACAAAATCGTCAGATTTAGACTGCCATTCGTCCGTCTGTGTCCCTGTCTGTTTGGTTGATAGCACAGTTACAAATATCACCAAAATATCTATACAATACGTTTATTAATATGTAGATAATAAAAAAAGATAGAAAAGACTTCATTAATTGTACACGCGTACAGAACAGATTGAACAGACGATACAAGAAAAGAACTCTGGTACACACAAATTCAAAACCCCAACTGAAAACCAGACAAACAATCAATTGATCGGTAGAGCTAAACTAAGAACGTTTTTCGTGAATGAAGCCGTCTTCAAATGAAATGCTATGTTCATTGACTGTTAAGTTTTCTTTCACTCCACGTAATAATTCTTATGCTATGTACATACCCATTTCCATTTCTAATTCGCACATGAGGGACTCGGTCAAGTGCCTGAGCTCTGCTGATAATGTTGAAACAGATGCAGGTTTTTTCTGAGATCTCGTTCATAGACTCAGCTATTCTGTTCTTTTGTGCTCTGGCTATATGAACGTGAATAAAGTGGAGTTATGCAGTTCTTCACATTACAGGAACGAATACCATCATAAAACGTTTTTCAACAGATTTTGTGCCATCCTATTGGTTGCTTTTTTTTTCAAATTCGATATAACGACATTTACTTACTAAATCCGGAGCTAGCAATTCGTACATTCACTAATGCGTTTGGCCACCTTCTCCTACTGCTCCGCGTCGCTGCTCGCTTCTGTCGTACGGGAGATGTGGTTTCCCTTCTTTCTAGCCTGGCACGGAGTCTGTCTCGGAAGGCCATGTCATTCTTACGAGCTTCAGGTAGGTTTATCATCAGCTGCTCTTCTAATCGGTCCAGGCGTCTGGAAACCATTAGTTTGTTTGCATAGTTATGTATGTATATACATGTAAAAATATATATATAACAATTTAAAAGAAATATCATAGAAGAACATAGATATTTATAATCAAATAGCTGTCCTCGAGTTGACCTCGGCCGTCTTAGTAACAGGCTACCTCACTATGCACCGCGTCATCCCCCACCCTATCTAAGATATTTAAGCACATCACGGTAAAATTAATTTCCCCTCTACTCTTCGTCATCACAGGATGACGACCTACATACCATGATCATATACTATGGTTTATATTGAAGGCAATGTAGATAATTCCATGTAATTGCTTACATGACAATTCATGGTGGATACTGGCTTCGAAATCATGCTGGGCTTTGAAATGTAATTAAACTAAATAAATTATTTCCATACATTTGTTTGTCCATATCTGTCAATTCCCACTGATCCAGAACTATGTCACCCTCAATTACAAGACTTCCTTGTCCTGTTAGCTGTCGCTGATCTTCACGGCGGATTGTTGCAGAAGCTGAAATCGGTTTGAATGTGCAGCCATGTATATATACAAATCTATTACAGAGGAAAATATGGTATCTAAGAAATGTTGTTCCTACTATCAAACTCTTATTATGTAGAAGTGAAATTGTAGAATTCTTATGTCGATATTATATAAACATGTAGATAAAGGTAATTTATGTATGGATCATCAGTACATTTTATGCAAAATAGAAATTATGTCATACTATTGTTATCATCTCGTATGAATGTTTTCCCTTTTTTCATTGTTGATATACTATTGTTGCTTTACACACAATAACTCACTCGACTCAGCTCTTTCGATGATTTCATCTATCGGTAGTACTCGGGTAGTGTCCGCCCTTCTGGAAGTTATCAAGGGGTTTCGGGTTCTTCTGGTGACATCTCCGATCCTCTTTGAGCAGTAAGTGCAATACATTGTTGATATGACTAGTTAATTTTAAACGCATTCCAATTATCGATGATACATGGTGTAATTACCTGATGAAGATGAAGTGATGCAAAACCGACCAATAGTCCAAAGCATAAAGATACAGTTACAATATCAAAAAACATTAATTAACATGAACAAAAAAAATCTAAAGAAAGGGTGATGTATCTTTAATACCAAAAATGGACAAAGAGGCGAAACAAGATAAGTCGAAAGGATAGCGTTTCACGTACATCGTGTGACACTTGTCATGAATGCTTCTTGTAAAATCAAGGAAAGTATGTCAGTCACGGGAGATTGAAGACAAAGTGGATATATGTTTAAGTGTTCGGTTCATTCATTCTATAATGGGATGGGCATATCCATCATAACTCAATAGATTAATTCTGTTTTAATCACTGAACTCAAGATTTACACTCTCCTTGATACCTGCATATTACCGCATTTGTCATCTGCATTTGGTGTTTTTTTGTTTGTTTTTTTTGATAATGTTGCTCGCCTTCAAATACGTTGTATTCCTTATTGAGATTCAAAACCAAATCATAACACCATGCATCAATATCAAAAGCATACAAAACATTTCCTAAAAAGGGGGATCGTCCTAAATGTGCGGTCATAACTATATACAAATAGGTTTTAAGCGCCCATTACAGTCAGGACTGCAAACAAACCTGTTTCAAGATTTCTCTGCTCTCTAGGGACATGGATAGAAATTCCTGGTTTTTTTTCTATTAATACAACACTTTTAACTCCCTTCTCACCTCCTTCCATCTTTTTGTTTATACTCCAAATCATAATTTATTGTCTTTATCTAAAAACCATTGTCTAAATTCAGATAGCAAAATGCGAAATGAAATGACCAGAAAATAAGTGGTCCTCATGTGAATACCGATACTTTGTTGTGATACTCTTCCCTTCCGCCAGATCTAACAACATGTTTAACGTATTCGTATTTTTCAAGGTTTTCTGTAAATCTTTCCTTTGTTCATATTTTGCCCTGGTTTTATATCGATTTTGAGTTTGAACTATGTTGGGTTTTTTTGCTACTGTCATCATCTGTGTCTCTTTTCTCCCTCGTAGTGTGAGGTTTTAAACAAGTTGTCTTATTTGTATTGACAACATGATATGAATGTTCAATTATAAACTTACTGGTTATAATTGCCTTAAGTGACAAAGAACAAAAACAATATCGTTACTCGCTTTTGCCGTTAAATTAAGATAATTATCATATACTTGCTTGAAATATCGACCAAATTGCATATGTGAAATAACCTATCAATATCAGCCCGCATCCGGTGATATTAGCCCGCTTCCGGATATTTCAGCCCGCATCCGGATCTTCAACACAGTACGGTCCGGTGACCGCTTAAAATTTTAATGGTTTATTGTTGTTGTCGTCTGCACTTCTCTTCTACAATGGAGTCTCATGGAGAGGCAGTACTCGAGTCGTTAGCTCAACGAATACTTGAATTAGATGAACTTATTGACAAAGAAAATGACCAAAGGTTGGGAGAGGCAAGGTTTGTTAACATCGAAAGGGAGGACACCGGTAGCTCTGTCGACAGCATAAAAACGGCACCACGATTTGTGTTAATGGTGTGTTTCTTCCATTAGTAAAATGTATATGATAAAAATCTTATAACATGCCTGTTTTCATATCAGACCCCCTACTGGCCCTTAACCTATATCAGGCCCGCGTGCCTTCGGCCCTTAGGCCTGATATAGGTAGCTCGGGCCAATCTAGGGTCTGATAATTATGAAACAGGTATGCAATAACCTCTAAATATCACAGTAAAAGGTAATCGAGAGGAACTCATATAATGATATATGAGTGAGAGGTGCTGATTTATTGCGATCGCTGTGACACATAGTTTTCTTTACTGATATTAATGGAATATTTATAATAAAGCGCATATTACCTGGTAACCCATCTGTTTAGTGCTCATAAAAAATATAGGGGAATAAATAACCTTACAAAGCTGATAGTATTGTGTCTACAAAACTTGTGTATTTGACCATACATACAGTGTACCGAGTATTCTATCTGCTATAGGATATCATAGATGTGCTGAGATATTATAAGTCGGTCGCACGGGCTGATATACACTTCTAGGTTTTCTATTTCAAGAAAGGGAGAGAATAATTAAACATATGAGGGTTATATCAGCTAGGATAGCAGGCCTAAAACCTGCATTATGCATTTTTGTTTCACTGTAAATCATTAAATATATTACGTACATGTAGCATGAAGTTTTCATGAAACAAATCTGATAGATTAAAAGTAATACAAAAACTGCTGACGTTCCGTGTGACAAATATGTATTTATAATAAACCCACAAGTGTTATTATGAATATAAAGATTACTTACTTGGGAACCGACTATAATTGGTGTTAGTGATCGAGTTTGATCCGCAGGGTTGACTGATCGTGTTACTGTTGGAACACTCTGAATTCAAAACATATTCAAATTGTTCAAAGTACACTCAATTTCATCTAAATATTCAAAATCACTTATGCTTCGCGAGATAAATATCTATAATATATATATCTATATATATATATGGGGCAAAGAAGTAATTCATTCAGTGTGGACAAGTTTAGGTTGTCAAATTTTCGGAGCGATTCGCTCCTTTTTCAAGACACAGTGAAACAGAACAGTTACATGTACATATACATCATATTACAAGAAGATAGAATTGATATACTATAATTGAAAATATAGCTATTATATAAAACCAATAGTCCCCTCGGCTAAAAACAGCCGAAAGCAGCAATTAAGCTGAGAGCATCGCGGACAAGGAACGCTGATGTAGAGGACCTATTCTTGCGCAAGATGCACTGTCATATAAAGTGAGTCAACGAGAGATATCAAAAACGTGGAACATGTGCATTTGGAAATCTGGCACGGTAAATGTGAAAAATCTCCAATCTGCTACGGAATGTCTCATAGTCAACTTGTACAAACTTTCATTTTTTTAAATCAAATTTAATCTATATTTACAAAACGTCAATTGTTTAACCAAAATAAGACTTAAATTAGATTTTACAAATTATCTGATCGGGGGAAAATAGTGTAAATAACAGCAAATGTAGAGATTAAATGAAGTCTTTGAAACATAACAAATGTTTTGTTTAATCATTTTTATTTCAAACTCACAATAACACCACTTTATGAAATTGATATCTTAATTTTAAACAGTTTTACAATTTAGCAATATATCGTTATTTAAATTTCAGAAGTAATGTCAATCTTTTAAGACATTTTAACGCTAAAACATGTAATGATTCATTACTATTAAACAAAGGACATGTAGTCTTTATCATTTCGGCACAAAGTGATGATGATTTTGTTTAGTTTTACACTTTTCATCACTTTATCAACAAACATTTATCATGATACACTTTTCTTTGCTTAAACGCGATCACATTTTCAATGAAGTGTACCGTAACACTCTGTGGTGTGGTACACATTTAAATACAAAAGTTTATTGCTTAATAGTTGTACAAAGTATGACACATTTAACGTGGTGCACTGTTGATCTGTTGAATACAAAAGTTTATTCCTTAATAGTTGTACAAAGTATGACAATTTAACGTGGTGCACTGCTGAACTGTTGAATACAAAAGTGTAATTCGTTAAAAATTGTACAAAGTATGACACATTTAACGTGGTGCGCTGTTGAACTTATGAATACAAAAGTTTATTCCTTATTAGTTGTACAAAGTATGACACATTTAACATGGTGCACTGTTGAACTGTTGGATACAAAAGTTTATTCCTTAATAGTTGGACAAAGTATGACACATTTAACGTGGTGCACGATTGAACTGTTGAATACAAAAGTTTATTGCTTAATAGTTGTACAAAGTATGACAATTTAACGTGGTGCACCATTAAACTGTTGAATACAAAAGTTTATTCCTTTAAAGTTGTACAAAGTATGACACATTTAACGTGGTGCACTGTTGAACTGTTGGATACAAAAGTTTATTCCTTAATAGTTGTACAAAGTATGACGCATTTAACGTGGTGCCCTATTGAACTGTTAAATACAAAAGTTTATTCCTTAATAGTTGTACAAAGTATGACGCATTTAACGTGGTGCCCTATTGAACTGTTAAATACAAAAGTTTATTCCTTAATAGTTGTACAAAGTATGACGCATTTAACGTGGTGCCCTATTGAACTGTTAAATACAAAAGTTTATTCCTTAATAGTTGGACAAAGTATGACACATTTAACGTGGTGTACTATTGAACTGTTGAATACAAAAGTTTATTTCATTAAAGTTGTACAAAGTATGACAATTTAACGTGGTGCACTGTTGAACTGTTAAATACAAAAGTTTATTCCTTAATAGTTGGACAAAGTATGACACATTTAACGTGGTGTACTATTGAACTGTTGAATACAAAAGTTTAGTCCTTAATAGTTGTACAAAGTATGACACATCTAACGTGGTGCACTGTTAAACTGTTGGATACAAAAGTTTATTCCTTAATAGTTGGACAAAGTATGACACATTTAACGTGGTGTACTATTGAACTGTTGAATACAAAAGTTTAGTCCTTAATAGTTGTACAAAGTATGACAATTTAACGTGGTGCACTGTTGAACTGTTGGATACAAAAGTTTATTCCTTAATAGTTGTACAAAGTATGACGCATTTAACGTGGTGCCCTATTGAACTGTTAAATACAAAAGTTTATTCCTTAATAGTTGTACAAAGTATGACACATTTAACATGGTGCACTGTTGAACTGTTGGATACAAAAGTTTATTCCTTAATAGTTGGACAAAGTATGACACATTTAACGTGGTGCGCTGTTGAACTTATGAATACAAAAGTTTATTCCTTAATAGTTGGACAAAGTATGACACATTTAACGTGGTGCACTGTTGATCTGTTGAATACAAAAGTTTATTCCTTAATAGTTGTACAAAGTATGACGCATTTAACGTGGTGCCCTATTGAACTGTTAAATACAAAAGTTTATTCCTTAATAGTTGGACAAAGTATGACACATTTAACGTGGTGTACTATTGAACTGTTGAATACAAAAGTTTATTCCTTTAAAGTTGTACAAAGTATGACATATTTAACGTGGTGCACTATTACACTGTTGAATACAAAAGTTTATTCCATTATAGTTGTACAAAGTATGACACATTTAACCTGGTGCACTATTGAACTGTTGAATACAAAGTTTATTCCTTTAAACTTGTACAAAGTATGACACATTTAACGTGGGGCACTATTGAACTGTTGAATACAAAAGTTTAGTCCTTAATAGTTGTACAAAGTATGACAATTTAACGTGGTGCACTGCTGAACTGTTGAATACAAAAGTGTAATTCGTTAAAAATTGTACAAAGTATGACACATTTAACGTGGAGCACTGTTGAACTTATGAATACAAAAGATTATTCCTTAATAGTTGTACAAAGTATGACGCATTTAACGTGGTGCCCTATTGAACTGTTAAATACAAAAGTTTATTCCTTAATAGTTGTACAAAGTATGACGCATTTAACGTGGTGCCCTATTGAACTGTTAAATACAAAAGTTTATTCCTTAATAGTTGTACAAAGTATGACAATTTAACGTGGTGCACTGCTGAACTGTTGAATACAAAAGTGTAATTCCTTAATAGTTGTACAAAGTATGACACATCTAACGTGGTGCACTGTTAAACTGTTGGATACAAAAGTTTATTCCTTAATAGTTGGACAAAGTATGACACATTTAACGTGGTGCGCTGTTGAACTTATGAATACAAAAGTTTATTCCTTAATAGTTGTACAAAGTATGACACATTTAACGTGGTGCACTGTTGAACTTATGAATACAAAAGTTTATTCCTTAATAGTTGTACAAAGTATGACACATTTAACGTGGTGCACTATTGAACTGTTGAATACAAAAGTTTATTCCATTAAAGTTGTACAAAGTATGACTATTTAATGTTGTGCACTGTTGAACTGTTGAATACAAAAGTTTGTTCCTTAATAGTTGTACAAAGTATGACACATTTAACGTGGTGCACTACTGAACTGTTGAATACAAAAGTTTATTCCTTAATAGTGGTACAAAGTATGACAATTTAACGTGGTGCACTGTTGAACTGTTGAATACAATAGTTTGTTCCTTAATAGTTGTACAAGCATGACACATTTAACTTGGTGCACGGTTGAACTGTTGAAGACAAACGTTTATTCCTTTAAAGGTGTACAAAGTATGACACATTTAACTTGGTGCACGGTTGAACTGTTGAAGACAAACGTTTATTCCTTTAAAGTTGTACAAAGTATTACACATTTAACTTGGTGCACGGTTGAACTGTTGAAGACAAACGTTTATTCCTTTAAAGGTGTACAAAGTATGACACATTTAACGTGGTGCACTCTTACACTGTTGAATAAAAAAGTTTATTCCTTAATAGTTGTACAAAGTATGACACATTTAACGTGGTGCACTGTTGAACTGTTGAATACAAAGTTTATTCTTTTAAAATTGTACAAAGTATGACACATTTAACGTGGTACACTGTTGAACTGTTGAATACAAAAGTTTATTCCGTTATAGTTGTACAAAGTATGACACATTTAACTTGGTGCACTATTACACTGTTGAATACAAAAGTTTAATTCCTTAATAGTTGTACAAGCATGACACATTTAACTTGGTGCACTGTTGAACTGTTGAATACAAAAGTTTATTCCTTTAAAGTTGTACAAAGTATGACACATTTAACGTGGTGCACTATTGAACTGTTGAATACAAAATTAAAAAAGTACTACGGATACAATGGTAAACTGTTGTACATAAAAGCAATTAGAGGTATCCGACAAATATCGCTCATCGTAATTAAGAGATTTGAATATTAAACAATCTAAAAGTGATACAGAATGTACTAATAAAATACTTCTGTCTGTATTGCGTATTTCGTATAGCATAGGGGATATCCCGACATGATTTCTCATCTTTTCGGCCTACTATTTACATTGAATAGCATGAATTAGAAAACCTTTATTTTTATCGTCTGGGTTAAAATGCACATGCTAATCCCAAGCAAGCACTGAATGTTGACGTTTTTGTACTTCATTGCATTACGTCATACTGCTACTAATACAAACTCCTGTGAACTGATGCTTTTTGAATGGTAAAATTATTTCCTTGGATATTTTCCCATGAATATTGCTGTGTAACAAGTTTAAATGACTACACTTACCGTTTGCCGAGTCAAAGCTTGTATTAAGGCTCTGATGATGTTATTAGGAACTCTAGTGAAGCCGGACGGCTGAGGTGCTGCTTGACCTGTGGTCATACCAATCAGGAGGATTGATCCACACAACAAGCGCACTAGGGTGACCGCGGGAGCCATTGTTCTCCCTGTCTATAGTAGTAAGGGTATGGCAGTGTTCGTACGTTTGCGCTACTTAGCACGTACAATACGTCTATTATACTTGAATCATCAATACGGCTATAAACTTTTAACTAGAGACATTGCCGTTATGAGTGGTTAGATTTTATATTAATATTAATATCACACAATAGATGTGTGTTTAAACATAAAAATGCATGATCGATAACCATGGAAGCGATGACATATTGATGTAGTGTGTCAGGACTCCTATTACATAAAGAACAAATAGCTTATTATAGATTAATCATCATTATCCTAGATCATATCCTGGTTCATAGCATTAATAATACGACAATATAGATAATATCATAATAAGGTTATTTCCATCATTACGAAAACAAAACGTTCTCTTTCGTTCCCGTTATATTCGACTTTTAATACAGTTTTTCACAAAATGTAATTCGAAACAAGAAAAATATTTTGTTTTTTATCCTTTGGATATGCAACAAAACTTTTATGAAAAAGTTAGGGAAACTTCAGTGTTTTTGAAGATTTTGATAGTTTTCGTAGGTCAACAGCATATTTGCCCTCCATGTTGTTCATGTTAATGATTCAAAACCTTTCCTCAGTCTATCTGAACATCTTATCTTTATTATTTGTGAAACCATCCATATCAACGGAAACCACTTAAATCCCAAGATTGAATTACAATTATGTACATAATCATAGTAGATGAATTATTAATCAAACGCGTTCATGAGGTTTTCCTTAAATAGATATATTCAAATACAAACGACTATTGTTTTCTTCACTTATTGAACAATAATTCCTGTGTGCTTGTATTTGTAAAATAGTTATGATGTAATGAACGTATAGAAGGTATTCCATCAACATACTGTCATACATATAATACATTATGTCTCCTTGACATTTATTTCCATCTCCATATGATTTGATATTTGTTCCGCATCGTACACTTTTTCCGGGAGATTTTGTCTATTTGTTTCTGGCAATAATAATGTAAGTAAGGCTGCTCCTAGGGAACATGTTCCAAACACAATAAGCGGAATACCTTTACTCATCGTATCAGCGGGATTGGTTGCCTGCAAAATATGTCGTATACATCAATTTGTTATACCAATAATGTCGCTTTCGTATGGATAAACTAGCAAGTGCAGAATATCTTATATAACATATTATTTGGAACATGAAAACTCGCCGTACAGATAGAAATTCTCCATTTTAGGCTCCGCATGACACACGCATACATTACACAACGAAGGCACGTCGTCAATGACTTATATATTAATAGAACACTAACGTCAATAAACCGAATCAAATCCACAAGAAACATTATTTGCTTTAATGTGAAGTTCATCCATTGTCATTAATGCAAAGTCGTAACTGAAGTCACATCTGGCACTTTTATGTTTGTTTGACCGCGAATTCAAGGTTTGTTCATTTTATATCTTTATTGTGTCGTAGTCATACAATTGTAAATCACTTTACATATTGCATGTAAATATTCACTGCATACAACTACATTTCGTTTATCCAGCTGTTTTAGTGTGTTTCATGATTCAAAACCTGTTCCTAATGCTTGGTCGTAGATGATTTAGCGTCTTCGATGCTTTAGATTTGACAGAAGACATCAAAATGGGTGTTACATGTTTGTATGGAACGCTTCCTTTTCTACACCCCTAGTTTCCGCAAGGTTTTTGTTTAGTTCCTAATATGTCTGTATATTCTGCTTGATGTCTTTCTAGTTCCCGTGGTTGCCTCCACGTATATCAATGTTGAGTTGCCAACTCAGCCTTTTGTGGAGATAATATGACACACAATGTGTATCCGAATAAAGGTTGTCTGATAATACTAAATACCGATATATCATTAGTATAACATCCTACTCTTTTGAAGATCCAGAACTGTACTTAATCCTAGCTTAAACTATGCGTAATACGTTATAAGTAATGCCTTGGGGGACTTTTGGGCAAATACTACTTGTTCTTGCAGTTTTCATATTTTGAGATTTTAAATGCGATGTTTTTTCGATTTTTATAATTTTACATCGTTTATTTTAATTTCCAAGTAGTAGTCTCTGCTTAAAATGAGTGACGTGTGAAGGACGAAACAGCTGAATGATGCAGTGTTATTTGTTTTCAGTATAATGAATCTATTGTCATTTTTTTAAAGTTACAGTCACCTGTGTGTGTGTTACGTTCCTCGCATTGCTATAAACGTTCTGATACGCTATTATTGTTTCCGGTGACTAATCAAGAAAGCGTAGTAGAATCAATTGAATTAAATTTGGTTTCAAACTCATCAACTGAGAAACTAGGTTAAGTGTGATAGACTGTAAATTAAAGTGTGACTACTGTTAGCTAACATATAGCTATCGACCACTGACATACCGCTCTCGACGTTTATGTTAGAGCGGAGGCCGACCTGTCTAACTAGTCATGTCTATCGCTGTATGAATCCTCTACGAGATGTTATTCTACCAGGGTACTCAAGTGTCTTCCAAGATTTGAAAAGCATACAAAGGAAGAATCTTTCTCAATCTATTGTGAAAATCATATATCAATGATGGAAATATTGAACTAGTTGTTTTCTTCGTAAATATTTTTCAATTATGAAAGTATCTCTTTGGAAGTTATCTATATTAAGCGTAGATAAGATGAGCAAAATCCTGTTAAGCTTATTGAATATTAAAATATCGGATAGTTGATATTTGCTTTGCCATAATCTAACGGAAATAGGATGTTAACTGAAACAAGTGTAGAATCTACTTACCAGCTGTGCCATATAAGGAGCAACAATGTATCCGATGTTCCCACAAGCCAGACTTATACCCATGCCACTGTTACGAAACACTGTCGGGAATATTTCAGCAGCCCAGAGATAGATTACGCAATACCCTACTGTTACACCAGACTTCCCCAGCATCGCCATGGCTAGCGTCAAATTTCTAAAATCTGAATGAAGAAGATACCTATTTTGCAATTTCTCAGATACACATTTAAGGTGTCAAGTACGATTGTTAAAATTGTTTGCGATGAAGAAACCATGCCATAATCGCGTAAATAAAAAAATAACAGCAACCCAGAGCATTTTAACCTTTCATGTCAATTCACGATCTATCACAACATGGTCCCTGCAGTTTTAATTTTGTGAACATTCAAGAATAAATCGATGTTGGTTTAATTTATTAGATAATTCATATCCGTACAAAATGATTGACTTGTTTACCTTTAACAGCAAGAATAGTCGTTACTGCGCTTCCTAACAGCATGACACCTCCTAAGAACATGGATGATATATATAACTTTTTCCGCCCGATCCTGTAACTGAATACAAGGGCGAGTGTGTTGGCAGGAAATTCAACTAGTCCGTTTATCAGGAAGTTCAGATGGAAGTTCCCACTAAGGTTTTCCGTGTTTAGAGCGAATCCAAAGTAACAGTGGTATACCACGAAACTAAATGGAAAGTGATAAATTAAGTTTGTGACATATGATATTTGTTTTATCAACACGTTGTAATGCATTGAAGATTAGACAATATGAAAAATTGGTTTATTAAACATAATGAATTTTTATTTCGATGTTTAATAAGCATAACGACTGCTGAAACAGTTTTGCCCTTGTTAATTTTTCTCTATTCATTTTTAAATAAAAAAACAACCAAGTATTCTCTGCAGTACGCTGAACACATATCTTTTCACAAAAATATGCTTAATGTCACTTGGTATAGTAAATAACAATTTGTTATATTGGTTTGGGGCATAATGTCTTCCAAAAACACCAAATTGCCTGTATTTGTAATTAAAGTGACGTCACCCGTTACTTACACGTTGAAAAATATAACCAGTGAATGACAAAATAATGAACGACTTGAAATAAGATGTTTGAAAAGGTAGGTTTTCCTCGAGTCATCCCTCTCTTCAACCGCATTGTCTTCATTCAAAGGGACACAACTCTCTGTATTGTTAGATTCTGCTATTTTCATCAGAACAGCATTAGCCTCCGTCGTTCTTCCACGACTGATCAGCCATCGTGGGGACTCTGGTATGATCCTACAGTGAGAACAAAACGTGGCAATTTAAAAGCATTTTAATTACTTTACAAATCAAACGTGTCTTTCATAATTAATTGGAAAATTCGAGCATAATTTTCTAAAAACAAATAAACCAGTCGCTTAAGAGTGTATTAATGGAAGTATGTTTATACCACCAGTATATCAAACACGGAAGCAATGGTGCTGAGGAGGCGATCTGAATGTATTTCCAATGGCGAAATCCGTATCCGATCCCTGCCAATATCACAATTCCACCCGAGTAGAAGTAATTCAACAGAAATCCTGCATATTGTCTTTTCGAGGGGCCGACCATTTCAACACCTATCAAGAAACAAAATGTAATATATACTTGAGTTAATTTAATCATATTTTACATGTTGTAAATCAAAAGTAAAATGTTGAAAAGCTTATGTAGATGATCGGTTTATCCCACTCTGCTTCACATTATATTTGTTTCTATTATGTTTTAAAGTCTTAAACACCATCACCAGTTTACCTATTTTATTAGTTACACTATTTATAAAAGCCGGATAAAAGTAATTACTAGAGTAAAGAAATCACATTAAGCTTTTTTAGATGAAAAAGCCACTTATTAATACAGATATGTCAATTTCAACAATGGAATGTAAAAGTAATGGATACTGTTTAACAATTTATTATGTACACTTTACCTTACCTAAGACAAAGGAAGGGATATATACTCCCCTGGAAGACATGCCCTGTATGAATCGCAAAGCTGTAAATACATAATAGTTTGGTGACCACGCTGACGCCAATCCAGAACCAAACAGAAAGACAAGGCTGACACAGATCGTTTTCTTTCTTCCTATGCTGAGAGAAAATTGTTTTGAAGTGTTGTAAATACCATTTCAAATGTTCTTAAATAATGCCATTTAAAAAAAAAAAGATATTGCCAAATTTAATTGTTTAAGATTGTCAAATATAATTCAACATTTTATATCGTTAGGTCACTTATTAAACATAACTTTTTTCCGTCGTGTAATTAGTTAACGTTTATTATCAATATTGAGAAAGACTGTTATTCAATTCAGGAAATAAAACAGAAGAGAGACATTTAATATTGATAAACAAAGTATTTAGAAGGTCGCACATACCCATCAGCAAGAATGCCTTGAAGCAGTGATCCACAAAAGGATCCAGCGTATATTACCATTTGTACATAGGTAGGAACTAATTCAGACTCGCATACCAGGTTATTCTGGAATAAAACATGAAGAAGACATTTAGAACGGTAAATTTGACAGTAATGCTATTATGACAGCAAACATGTTTTACTTCGGCAGCTGACACATTTAGACATAGCTCTAAACTCGTAGTGTAAATTGTTATCTTATCTACACTACTCAATCACATAATATAATCTCAGTTTTGTCATATCACAATAATGGTGCTATAATTTGATATTTCCATTTGCTAACCATTGCCACTATATACAAATACTATAGTCGGTTGTGATTTACGAGAATAATTATTAAGTGATAATTATTGCATCGCTACAATTGTTATGTCATAATCATAACTTCGGAAACAGCTGGCCGATTCTTGGTGTTGGCTGTTCAATTCATTGCAAAGTTACCTCTTATTTGAATAAAATATCATTATGATAAATTTCAATAAAATTATTAATTCGGTTAAGTATAGGCCTACAATTCTGTGAAGGGCTGTGAAAATTATTCATAACACACTTTGTTCACATTGTCTGGCATCTAGCTCAGAATTATAGTATCATAACACTGAACAGAATGAAGCTTTATACTTTAAAACATGCAGTGATAATCAAATAATGCATTTAATATTTGATTCCTGTACAGAGATAACGATATATGTATAGATATTCAAGCATACCTCGGTGACTATAGATTCCACAAACACGGACTTGTCATACACCCAAGATGTACAGAACTCTGTCATGTGTTTGTCATCACCGCTGGACGTATTGAATGGTCCTAGATTTCTTCTGCACGCTGATTTGTTTTCTTCAAATGATACTGTCCCGTTTGGCAAGTTGGCACTGATATTCGCTGTTGTGTTAAAGCTAGAACACCTGTACATACGTATAAAGATGTCAAAACTAAATATCTTACATAGAATAGATACATTACATTATCTTTCATCTTTTGTTACGTAGTTTAGTTACATTCACAGTACCTGTCATCAGTGGTTTTAGGAATATACAGGCAACACATTATAAATTAAATTAGGAGTAGATTACTGGTATCAGGTTACCGTACCATCAACTGATGTCCATACATTTGTAGTATGAATCATCTCACTTCGAGGTTTGCTCACCTGTGACTTGGCTTGTACAGCAGGAAAACGTTGACTACATCGGAGAGGCCTATGAAGATGATGAGCAGGCACAACAGAAAGTAGATACGTCTCTGGTAAGGGCCAAACTCACCAATATTTTTCAACGTTTCGTCAAATTGTGTACTCATGATTTATCCTGTGACTTGTATCCAACTTTCAATAAAATCATAGAACAATTACAATGCAATAAAAAAAATGTGATGCGAATCACAATTCTATGCAACATGTTGCAATATTAGATCGGAATATCACAAGTTATAACCGTATGAAGTTACTGACCTAACGTAAATGTTGTTTTACTGATTAGTGCTATCCCTGTATGGCCTGTCATTGACCTGTACCGTGCCATATATATCCATTATGTATATAGATAACCCCATTAAACAACGTATGTATATGAATGACTTAGTTCACCTTGAAACTCTCTTGGACTGATAGACAACAGCTCATCAAATGAAAATCAATAATCAGTGTTGGGTAATTACACAACAATACGCCATTATTACACAAAAAGAACTTGACAAGAAGTGATTAATTTGAACCGAAATTAACCAAGTACGTCATTTTGAGTATTAATTATAGCAGCCTGTGCTGGCCATAGTATTTATATACCGACTTTAATTTGCCACTTGTACATCTGGATTTTGGGTACTTGGAACATTGTCAATTTTAGAATGTGTTATGCACCAGAACAAAATCGATCAGCTCAAATATTGATATAATTAGAAAGCATAGGAACTTTCAAGCTATTTTACTTTAATGAAACTACCATGTTTCATAAAAACTTTGTTTCATTCAGAGACTAAAACAATGCATCCATAATGTATATACCTAAACCCTTAGTTATTGAAAAAATATGCATCATTTAACGGAAGCCTGATGTTTGGGGATTTAGGTTAAACAAAGAGCAGATTGTACACAATAGCCCATTCTCACATTTTCCTATAGGGCTAAGACTAGGATTATTACTATCGAGTCTGTTAATAAATGTCTATCATGCGTATACATTATGCCATTAGAAAGCTAAGATATTGTCCTTTTACGTGATCAAATATAGCATTCACAGTAGTGTGTATTGACGTTACTATGACGTCATAATTGTCGTGGTGAAACCATCAGTGTGATGTGTCAGGGTGTCGTAGCAGTCAGACATGACTCAATTCCGTCTTTGCGTATTGCAGAGTTATCTTCTCTTGAGCAGGTATTGATTGCTACGTCATTGGTTTATATTTACATTCTGTATTGCATTTGCCTATATGTCGTTAGTAAACCAAATTGAAGTATATGAGACTGTATACTACAATTTACAGTGAAACGGCCAGTGTAGGAATACAGCTGGAACAAGGTAAACAAACATGGCCGCCCGATACTGTCGGTATCAATAGGCCTATAGTCGGAAAACATTCTGGGTTCGTTAGCATTTAGCAATACAGGGTCAGCGCAAAAAAATAAAGCAACTTGACAAATTATGACAATGAAAATGTATTATAAGGTGTGTAGGTACCACAAAATTATTGTAAACGCCATTCTAGATACGAAATTACCAAGTCATCACACAGGGGATCGGTTTCGAGAGTTTAAGTTATGCATTACATCAGTGAATAACCACAACACTAAAATTCAGCATTACTAAAAGTCGAGGGTATCGACAAGGTTTTAGAATGTGTATACATACCTTTTTCAGTGTTGTGGTTTTTCAGTGATGTCATCCATTACTCGAAATCACGAAACCGAGCCCCTGTGAAAGTCGTCTGCTAACGATGCTTATCTGACCGATTAGACATGGAATCTATTTGAAATGAAATGTCCTTGGAATCGTTATCACCTACTGAAAGGACCACTTTAATTAATCATTTCCGAGTATATATGCTTCTGAAAATATTATTACAGTCGAAGGAAACATAAGCGTTTCCGAGGAAACAATCAAGTCCGTTCAGCGCCTTATCACTTCAAAATATATGTAATCTATCAATGCGCGAAAAACAGCTTTAATTTTAAACAAGCAGAAGTTATGCAATTATTAACATTTTTTCAACAAATACACACTCATATGAAATAAATAATAAAGTTGAGTTTGTGTTCAAACCATTTAATGTGCGTGTGGTTTTCAATGACACGAGTGACTATATTATTTCTTCTGGAAACGTCGGCTGTTCTGGGATTTGAACTTACTGACGTCACTGATATGATAGGCGGAAAATTCAAACGTATTTTTGCTTCAGTAACTTTACAAAACAAACTATATACATATAAATGTAAATATAAGCATTGAACTGTTACCAGATGTAGTATACAGTCGATATGAATGCAATTCGGGTGACAGATAAATAGAATGTCGCCCGTTAGGGTTGAACTGTCACCAGATGCAGTATACAGTCGATATGAATGCAATTTGGGTGACAGATAAATAGAATGTCGCCCGTTAGGGCGACATGAGTATTTATGTGTCACTTAAATTGCATTCATATCGACTGTATACTGCATCTGGCAACAGTTCAATGCTCAAGTGTGAGAAAATTACGTCGTTTTCTCAAAAATTGATGACGTTACGTATACTCTCACAAACAAATGACGTAACAATCAATACCTGCTCACAAGAGCAGATAACTCTGCATTACGAAAAGACGGAATATGTCTCTAAGGATAAACTTCATACCCATTGTTTCTAACATGTACAGAATGTACATGTATGTACATGTATGTATGTATGTATGTATGTATGTATGTATGTACGTATGTATGTATGGTGTCTCCTATCATCATTGGCACTAATCTAATTCTTATGTTCCTAAAACATGTTCATTATGTAAATAATCAAGCATGTAGTTCATTATATTGCTATTATTTGAGATGTACCTCATAGGAGAGGGCTTGTATAGGCTTTGCCTGTTGCCCAATTTCCATTAAATTTGATTGATTTAATAAAATGTTTTGAAATGAAACATGTACAGAACGCACTGCATATGTTTACATCACATAGTAATTGCCTGCCGTACAATGTATCTATTGTAATGGAATGAACATGTATACAAGTTATTATATATAGAAATCCATATCACATGCCTTTTTAGCCTGAGGTCTGATATTGGTCGAGGGCTGATATGGCATGTGATATGGATTTTACCATGTACTATTTTCTATTTATTATAAACTTCAACACTGAGAGTTAGATTCAACACAAATTTGATAAAACAAAAACTTAGTAAACATTTTATAATGGTAACTTGACAATGTTATTCTCGTAAATGATACTTATTTCTTCCTTAATCAACAGATCAGCCTGTTTAGCACGGTTTCCCTTGTCCTGTTGTCTCAGCAGGTTTCTTTTTTATACTAATACTTCCCTTGAGTGTGATAATTCTTTGCGGTCTGCTATATTCATGTGAACACATTTCTGTTTTAAGTATCGATTAATACTTGATTGAATAGTTTTCAGAGTGTCCAGTTCGTATTCGTCAACGTTTGTTTTGGTGGCCTTCAAGAAAAATAATGCAAGGTTTCGGTCAAGTTCCTTCGGGTCTGATTCTTCGATCTGTCTTTCCTCATTTCTATACTTCATCCAGGTGGAAAATGTGTTCAAATCTGACAAAGTTTTTCTCATCGTATTTGGATTTTTCATTTTTTCCACAAGTTGGCGAGTTGACTGGTCCGACTCATTATAGAGTGCCTCCTGTTCGGGTCGATCAACTGAGCCGCACGGTTGATTTTCTGCCTTGAGAAAGATTTTCCTTGTAAATAAGGTCATCAAGCTCCAGCATCCGATTAGCCAGGGAATTAAGAATCTGTCACCTTCAGTTTCTTGTCCTGACACCGTCGTATCTAATGTTAACAAATCAGCAGTAGTCTGCTGCGCTTATAACTCTAGAGGTGTTCCTAACTTGAAGAGTTCCGCAAGTCGTCATTTCCCGACCGCCAGTCTAATATGGGTCACGCGTATTTAACCGTGCTATGCAGTATATATATATATAGTACTAAGTAAACGAGATGTGTCACTGTCTGCTGGATAACCGAACTACTCGGTAGTGAATCAATCAATCAATCAAGATGTGCCCCTTACCTGTTATACCCACTTTGTCCTCTCCAGTGCTTCACTACACTCACATACACAACTGATTATATTAATTCCAATCACCCGAACGCGGCCTCGCCGTTGCTGCGCTACACCGACAGCGGTCTTCCCCTACATAGCCCTAACTGTTCCTCACAGACCCTGGGCTACCCTAGATGATTTACATTTATTTTACCCCCTCATACCACTGCTTATCCCCTGTATACAACGGTGTTCTACACACTACCGATAGACACACGACAATATCTCGTTGTATTATCCCTGTATTGTTCAATGGTCACCATTCTATTTCCTTTGTGGGTTTTGTTTTCGTAGACCGATCGATTTTGAATTCGATGTATGGTTATATTAACATTTTGTATACTCTTACCTTTTTTTGGTTTCTACTATACATTACAATAGTTGTGCAATATGATATCTCAAAGACCAACAAATTAGCGTTCTAAATATATGCCATAACCTTCTGATATATTTATTACTATAACTATTGTTGTATTGCAACCGACTGAAATATTCAAAAATAAACTTTTAAGCGCAGAATGACTACCTCTTTCGTACATTTTGCTTTCTATGTTTCCCAGAGTTCTGGATGAGGACGCAAACATTAAAATCTGAAAAACACGGTGTTTAACAGTACGCCATCAGCAAAAACATTTTTTATTTATTTCTGTGTCAAATATAGGACGTTAGACGTGCTGGTAATAACATAATCACAACTGATATATTACCATATAAATAGAATACCACAGCGTGAACACACTAGGAATAAATTACATACAGACCTTAATGTCTGTCAAGCATGGATTCATTTGAAACGAACTCTCGATAACATGTTTGTACAGATGAACACTACTCTTTAACATCAAAACAAAACTGCATTAGCTCTAAAACCTGTCACGATAAATAAAAAGGGGACAGTTTTTGTTAACCTGCCGTCAGCATTCCAAACAACCATTTAAGACCGACGACTAGCCGTCGACATAATGAAGCTGTAAATATATAACATGCATGGTTAGGGCTTATTAATTGGCAGTCTTCTTCTCAGTTAAATAGCTATGCACTGCAATGTAAAGGAATTGCGTAAATAAAGGCGCGTCATTTATCTGTATATGCAAGTTTACAAGTTCGTGCCAAATACATTAATAAGTGGAAAACAAAACATTGTAAAAAGCAACATGCAAATTTCATGTGTTCACGTACAGAAAAAACATGATATATTGATTTGGGCTGTAAATTAATTTACCTCTTTTGCTTTGGACAGGTCGCTGTGTAAACGTGAGGTGTACTTCTACCCATGTCGTATAACACACCGGTGTTCCTCAATATCGATCGTTCTATAACGGCGCACTTGTGCTTCACAATGTAGCTTAGCAACGTAAATGGTTCTGACCTAAACAACGTATATCAGATAGGAGTCAAAATATGTGAACGAATAAGGTACATTATATGTAGTTATGGAAAGTGGTATCTTATCTTTCCTCTTCAACTGTGATGGTAAGCCTTTTTTGTTTATCAGTTATAACTAATACTAGTATCCATATGTTGTACAGCGCTTTAGAGTAGTTTTACAAATTAAACAGGGCGCTTAAAGAATGTTGTATATTATTATTATTAATTATTACATTTCCTTTCCGTTACAAATTATTTAAATAACTTACATTTTGACGCAAGTAATAATTTTGCCTAGCGTTGCTCCAAGATAAGCAATATCTACAGCTGTTTGACAGACCGACACAAGCTGTCCCCTAATGTCGGAATACGAATCTGTAACAATCAACATATATTGTCAAACGTTCGACACTTCACAGCCAACCGGGATTTGTATAATGGTTATTATTCTGATAGGTTTGCCTATCTCGCCCGGTCAAACTTACCAGTTAACATTAACCCAGACACTTACAATATGGTGGTATTTAATGGGAAATAAAGTAAACAAAACCGTCTCTGCTTGTGTGCCCAGAAGGGCCGATTAACAATTATATTTTGTGATTAATTCTGAATAGAACATACTGCAAGGTATTACTTATATAGCTTCTTAATGCTATGTGTATCTTAAATTTGTATGACACAAATATTTACATTGTAGTTTACATTGAATTAAATTATTTCTTGTTAAAACATGGCAGTGACATCATATATTGTGCTTGCATGAAGTATAGTTGAGGAAAATCTACTATTATCACCTACTATTGTGTAAAAGTGACATTTTACGGTAGAATAGTTGTAACTATTCCACAATAAAACTATGAACTATTCCACAATAGAAGGTGACAATACAAGAATTGTCTAAACTTGGGAGTAAAATATAAAACAGGGCATAAAGTTAACAGCTTGCTTTTTTATTTGAAACAATGTATCAATGGAAAAAAACAAATTAGCACTGCATCCAGTAGTCCGTCAGGAAATCACAAGTTAGGTTTATTTGTACCCTGAAAAGGGAGATAACTTTATTATTAACATTTCTGTTTCTGACGATATTGAATACCATCAATAGCTTTATACAGGGTATTCTCTCGATACTTTGATCCATTTTTCTTTTGTATCTCTGTTATAAATCTCCCTTATCTGGCATCAAGATCTTTATCAGATACAAATGTATAAACAAAGCTTCTCTTCCCCTTTTTCCACATTTGCTTCTGATTCAGCATTTTTTGGCGAATATCAGCTTTGCATGCCTCAAATGTCGGGCTGTTCAATCAGATTTTGCAATGGTATATTTGGGATGCAGTATCCTTCAGAAAACTTTCAATTTTGTCATTATCAAAATTTGGGATTATTTTTTTCCTTTCTCTAAAAATATTCTGTTTCACTTTTCACGTCAAAGTAAGTGTTGGTTTAAATTGTACGAGGAAAAAAATCATTGTCACCGCTAGTATCATCCATGTTTCACAGTCAAAACTAAACTGACTTTGTTTCAAAGGAAACACCATTGTGTCTGTGAAACATTCAAAAATTGTATGCAAAACATGATACATGTCTTTCATAGCGGGAATAACCAAGTGAATGGGCCTCAAAGGATTACAGGCGAGGGTTTGCATTAGGGCTGTCTTCCCCAGTTACCTGGCCCAGTGAAATAGTTGAACAATACCCTGTATACCTGTGTAATAGTCAGTGAGAGGAGTTTTTATGATGCCATGTTTGACGTATTGAAACTCGTACAGAGTAGGAATTCTGACATTTAAACTGATTTCAGACTAAATATTTGGTCGCTAAGTAGTATATGTGTTAAATTAGAAGATACATCAGTATAAAATTGTTTCATGGCTATTTGGGGAACAGTCAAAACTATCATCCCGAGGTAGGGGGAAGCCCTGGGGAACTGTTTGCCCGAGGCCGCTAGGCCAAGGGCAAACAGTTCCACAGGGATTCCCCCTACCGAGGGAAGATAGTTTTGACTGTTCCCAAAATAACCATGAAACAATTGTTTTATTACCAAATAAAAATTAGTATCAATGCTGCATGCAATGTTGCCATTGCTTCAACACTGAGTTGCGGTCACCGCAACGCTTGAACGGGGCTCTCGAGGGGGGATTTCTGCGCATCGAATTCGCGCCGGGTAACAGTTCGCTCTGACCGGGAATAATAAAATTTATAACGCCATTGATATTTAGTTCTAAATACTAATAAGAAGAATTCTAGAGGAATCTATATGTAAATGCTCAAAATAGAAGAGCTTACAAAGAGGATATTGTTTGATGTGTTAAATTCGTTCTTGTTTTGTTAAGGTTCTGATTATTTCAATCTATTTTGCGATTTCGAGTGAATCATTTGGGTTGGTTTTTTGAAAGTTTTTGGCCCTAAAAAGGGCCGTTTTATGGTTCGTATTTCCTCTTAATGCTTCTGTGTGGAGGCGATGGTTCTTCGGATTCTGGACATATACTTCTTCATTCCTGTGTTAACGGTGATCTGTTCACTGGTTTGAATATTGACCAGGTCTTGTAGATAGTCAGTCGGGTACTTATTGTCTTTGAACTGTACGAAGTGCTTTCCAAATTTCTTGTGGAGAAATTGGTTTATACGTATCCGTTGACATTCATACGCCTCTTTTGTCAGACCAGGAACTTTACTGAAGTTTCCCCTTGTGATCATTTCGGCCACCCATACCTCCTTCATTCCGGCATTATTGAATGTAGAAACCAACTCGACAATTCTTTCAAAAATCTCCCTTGGTGTAGATGTGGATGAGATGTCATTACCTCCGACGTGGAGGAATGCAAATTCTGCACCTGTTGCTATGGCTTGCCTAACAAATCGCTGGTCCATCCTGTCTGTCCTCAAACCACCCCTGCCAAAGAATACAGTATTCACGCCAGAAATACATAGGTCTCCATCACAATGGCACCGAAGTCTTTCAATGTAGCTGCTTCCATATAGAATCAAAGTAGGCATAGTTGTTTGATTGTAATTATTACGTTTGTTTCAAAAAAAATCCCTTAAATGGTACATACATGTATATACTTGTGTGTCCGTCCGTGTTATTGAAGGTTATTGATATATTCATTTCAATGAAGTTTAGAATATGTTTGAACGTGGCTTAGTATGCTTTCTTTGTGGTCCTATATAAGTCAGTTATATTTATTTCAAGATATTCTGCATTTTCTGAGTTACATGTATCTTACAGCGTTTATATGGGGCAAAGAAGTAATTCCAACAGTGTGGACAAGTTTAGGTTGTCAAATTTTCGGAGCGATCCGCTCCTTTTTCAAGACACAGTGAAATAGAACAGTTACATGTACATGTACATCATATTACAAGTATACCATAATTGAAAATATAGCAATTATATAAAACCAATAGTCCCCTTGGCTAAAGACAGCCGAAGGCAGCAATTAAGCTGAGAGCATCGCGGACAAGGAAAGCTGATGTAGAGGACCTATTCTTGCGCAAGATGCGCTATCACATAAAGTGAGTCAACGAGAGATATCAAAAACGTGAACATGTGCATGTGGAAATCTGGCCCGGTAAATGTGAAAAATCTATATATACACACGTCTATTGATTAAGTATTCCTATGACCTATAGCTGATACACATATATAGTGCGATGTGATGTTACACTGGTTCACGTTTTTAAGACCACCTACGGTAAATACATATATAATTTATAATTTATTTACAATAGTGGGATCCGAGGTATCCGGTTACACACAATAAATCACACGTTGACGTTAAATGTATTACTTACAGGTGTACACGGTATGTGTGTGTATTGTCTGGCGCACGGACTTGTGTATATGAACTAGTAGCTTATCGCTGCTGTCAACATATCTGCCGTATTCTGGGAGCGACAGGTAGGTAGTTAGTGTGTTCCTGACTATATCATATGCTAAATAAACCGTCAATCTCAATTATTAATTTATCATACAATTGATATTAATCATTATATCAAGTAAGAATAAATGCAATGGAGTGAAATGACGTGACTGAAATAATATAATTAACATTAATATTGCCTATGCTCAGCAGCTTTCACCTGCTCTCTAACGTACACATAAGATCGATGAGTACGACAATTAAACCACAACGTTGTTCATTTATGTTGATAAAATGACACTGAAGCAATATCAATAGCTTATTCTTACCGCATTCAATAGGGAAGACAGTAGAGGTGTATTGTTTTAAATCGGCAAATACCCCGGACATTTAACCACTATGGATAATTCTGTCTGTAGTAGTGCCTAATTCGCTATAACATTTTCCACACAACATAAACACTTAACTTAATCCTTTCTATTCGTTTAAACGTTATTTCTAACGTTATTTTGGAAGGTGTGACTTTGATACCTGTTTATTATTCTAAGAATCATTGAGATGGTCATTGACCGTCAATACAAGACAGATATACATGTAAGACATATGAGGGTATATGTGTGCCGTGAGTAGTTGTGTTAACCGGTCGGGTTGCATGGTTGACTGTATGTCTAGAATAGATAGGGCTGGTGTATAAATAACTCACATTTAGGTGGTAGCATGTGTCACGACATCGGGTAACCAGGTCATAAACCGGAAAAAAACCCACATAATATACAACAAGCACTTACCAGGCATATTAAAATTGATATGAAAATGATTTTCAAATGACTAATTCACATATACATGAATTCAACAATGTATTTACATTGCCGAACCTCTATACATCAAAGAGATATGGTAGAGGACTCGACCGTTAAGGATAAATAATGGATAGAACAATGCATACTCCCATTAATGGTCTCATAGTGTATGTGGCAAACATCCAATATTAATGAATTTCAACCAAGGTATATGTTTTGTTGTTTCCACAGCTGGATACTTTTACAGTAGTGGTGTACAGTGGCTAGCTTCCTGGAATACTTACTATGCGGTTTGATGATATTCTGAAAGCCATTGGAGAATTTGGACCTTATCAAAGACGGATTTATTTTTTCATATGTCTACCAATAATCTTCATAGGTATATCTGACATAAACAACGCCCTTCTACTCTTCCCTCCTAAACACAGGTAGGTCAAAGTATTTACCGGTTTTCCACACATAAAATAGGTAAATAGACTTACATCTATCCCTGATTCATATATAGGTACAAGTTACCACCTCCTTCCCCAACACAGAGTAAAGCTATGTAAGTAAATGCAATCCCCTTAGAGGTACGTACATCAGTACAGTTATAATCACTTTATAAATAGTTTTCTCGCCTTACATCTCTTAGGCGCAGACAATTCGACAGTAGATATTGTCTATCCGAGACACTAGTCGTAAAGAGATTGCTTCCATGTCAAGATACAATATAAAGTGTATTCCCAAGATGCAGTTCGGCAAAACAAATGTCACCTCTCTCTCTTTCTGACATACAGGACTGTAGCAGTAGGATATATCTGTTCTCCAACACACACGTTGCAAACACATCTCATCTTTCTCAGACACACAAGTTGCTATCGGAGATGTTTTTCCTCCAGATACAGGTCGTAAACAGATGGTTTTTCGTTCTGACACTTATTACGTCGCTGGTATAACTACAACTATTTTGCCAAAACAAAGCAAATATGATAAAGACTGTTCCTATCGAGGTCAAGGGTCGCTGATTCTATTTGTGCATGTGTACATTCAATATAATGTATAGTTAATTTTATATCTACACGATAGTGTGATGACAATGTATTCATAAACGGCTTTGTGTGTGGGGGGGGGGGGGGAGGGGGGTAGACATTCTGAATGTTCCACTCAGAAGTGACTTCATGGCGGTTTTTGCCCAACCCCACTTAGGCCAGCTGACATTTTTTGTTTATATTGTGTGGTAGTTGCTCCTATGTTTGTAACATATAACTACTCTATGTTTGAATTTCTTTCAAATAATATGATTTTCTGATACCAGTCATTAATATAAAGTGGCTCTATTGGAATAGATTCAAATGTCTCCATTTTGGTGGCCATTTTCGTTCATTTGGTGGTTTGAGTTGTTTCTTGTTATGAGTGTAGAAACATAAATATATGTATGCTATGGAACATCTGTCCCTCGACAATATCCCATAGCATTGATAAAACATCTCTCCATATGCATACTTAATCTATTTTCGATGCTGCTTCCCTGGCTTTGTAACAGAATGTACCAGGCAACATGTGCAAGTATATCAGATTCGAACGCGACAGATACAATAAATCAGTGTTTAATGTATCATATCTAGAACTACATGATCTGATCTTTTTATTTTAACTCATAGTGAACTTTTGTGAATAATTTGTTCAAACTGTGACGATTAAGGATCCATGTTCCCACTGCACTTCGGAATATCGTATATACACTTACCTCCCCTAAATTTCGTTTTTGATATAACTGTAGCACAGTTAAGCCAGGGCAAATACTATAGCAACCTGAAGTTCAGGGTTCAAATCCTGGTCTAGCCCGCTTAGCTTTTAACACCCAGAACACTATTGTTGATTAAAAAATCATCTTTATTACTTTTTCATAAAGGTCTCGCAATGTATGGTTATCAATTCATGAATTATTTATCAAAGGTTTAGTCATGCGTGTTAGCAGTGGTAAGGGGATCCTTATACTGCATCGTTTATAATATGAATGTATTATTTGACACATGATATCTGTTTTCGAATACTTTGACTTGAGACACTTTATTATTGAGTTGACAACATGTACGTTATTTACGTGTATGTGTTATCTAACGTCTTAGTGTATTTGCTTTTTACAGGTGTAATGGAAACAGTGTGCCAGGTACCATTACGAATTACTCAGACGTAGGAACAGAACAAACCACAAATATTTCCGATGGATATATACAAGACACTGAAGCTGATGAATGCTTTACACGTGCGGTCAACTCATCCGACCGTGGTCCCGTGACACGGCCGTGCACTTCCTGGACATATGACCAATCTGTTTTTCTTGAAACGATCGTGTCAAAGGTACACACAGTTGTTGCTATTCCGGTACTGTCTGAAAATTAGACATACAATTTACACATAGATATGTTTTTCCCAATATTAACGCTGATTTTTTTTTCTGTTCAGCAGCAATTGCATGTATAATGCATGGTTGATATTAAAACAGAATTTTTTATAAACAATGTATTTGTTAACTTAAAAAAAAAAAAATCATGCTAAGATAAGTTTACACATACGTATATAACGTGAACTTTAACCTTGACAGATCCGTGCGATTACGTGATGCAGGCTACAGAGTGTTTGTAAACATATACAATTGTTTTAGTTAACCAATGGGTTATTTACACCCAGCTTGGTTCCATCCGTGTATTTATTTTTTCCCGATTATTTTAAATTCTCAAACTATCTGTGTTTTGCCTTAAAAGCCAAAGTCTTTTGCCCAAAATATGCTAATGTTTCATTGTCTCATTCATGAATGTTTTCTTTGTATATAGCGTACTTTTGCACACTTACTACTTATAAATATAGTTAACGAGTGGTTTGTAAATGTATATGAACCCGCCATTACACATTCTTTTAAAATGTTCAAAACAACATCCCAATTTTCTGTACTTCAAGTACTCAGAGCTTGTCGACAGTAAGATTATTTCATGAGGTATTAATAACGTAAGGAATGCAAATTACCATACTCAATCCCAATGATGTGTTTGTTTTCAAATTTCACGGTTATAGTCCAATAAGTATTACTACAAACAGAAAAACATAATTGATAACTGCGAATGTACAATATTGTCACTGTAGAGGTGTACCAGTATGTGTGTTGAGGCTAGCCACATAGAGCTCGAGTATAACATATGTAACTATTGAACAGTTCTGTATGCATGTCAGTATAAATTTTGAAGTGATGCTTGAATATAAATACTTACATTTTTCTACACATAGTATGACCTGGTCTGTGAAAGTGCGGCTATCCCAGCGTATATGCAGATATTCATGTACTCCGGAGCTCTGGCCGGATCCCTTTGTCAAGGAGTTTTCGCCGACAGGTATTCTTGTTCTTTATTGATTAGAAACAAAAAAATATCATTAACTTCAGGAATTGAATAGTGAGAAAAGTATGATTCCTTCTTTACAGTCGAAAGTAGTAATTTCAGTTACAATTCCTACGCTGTATGCCTAGGATCCAATGAAGTACATGTGGCAGTCTACTAGAAGTCCGTGTGTGTTGGTATTATCTCTTCTGTTATCTCTGTTTATGTAATTTCCTCACTGCACCTGGTCTTTTTTCGATGGTCTCAATATAAATCTTTCTTTTGCCAATATTTTTCCCTATGCTTTTTTCGATTCTGAGTTAGAATTACAATTTTGTTGACAATCTTGTGTTTGTTTCTTAATACGACAAAATTGATGACTTTCCCACATATTCTAATTTGTAATTATTCGTCTCGTGATTGAAGACAAATATTATAATTTTGTGGTTCATAAAAACTAGTCAATAACGGGAAAACAATATATTTGTTAGAACATGTAGTGTAATATTAAGATTTGACAATGCTGACCAAATATTTAGCTTTATCGTCAGTCATTGACCCTTGATGGTTCCCTAGATAGCTAGTGATATGTAAGAAAGTGGGCGTGGTCTTACTATACATCTTACTGACCATGGGTGGTTATGTAGAAGATCAGTTACTGGCTTTATCAAGAATGTATTGCACCCTTTATATCTAAATTGACCAAAAGGTTTAGAGCTGACACGTGCCGACCATATTACTTTCCACATAGGAATATATATATATTGATTTCCTCAAATTTTCCATCCTGCATATTTCTGCTATGAAATCCTTAAAACACTAAACAGCGATTTGGTTCATGTTTTGAGTCTATGTAGAACTACACATTTTACAAAACACGTATATAAATTTTGCATCCAGCTTCGGTGCTGCCGTCTGCTCAAACCGCTTCATATCTTTTACTGTGAGATTTATTTAAACTTTGCATTTTCATTACTATAAGATAACAAAAATAAATTAAATTCAAGGTTATCATGTTGAAATGCTCAAAATCTGGATTTCAAATGAACGAAAGAGAAAATATATGTTGATAAAATTTAAGGAGGCCACCACATGACAGCTCTAAACCAATTATTTTTGAACATTCTTGTTCGAGGTGCTATAAATAGATTTAGCAGGTCAGAAGACGTTACCTGGACCTCATCAGCTGTATTTTAGGTTGTGTTGAACGGTCACAGATAAGTATTCTACAAGTAAGTAATTAAAGTATTGACATCTAAATGAAATTATTATGATATGACATGGTTTCTAATTTTGGTTTTACAGACTCTAGTTATAGTATTGTGTGTTGATTGTTTTCACACAACTGGTTTCTCATAACTGAAACAATGAAAACTAGTTTTTCTTTGTTTCATATATGCCATTTAGATCTAGCGTACTTAATACATTACAGAATCTTCGTAAGGGGCTTATTGCAAAATTCTCTAACTAGTCGTCAATATATCGTGAAGTGTCCTGTAGTGTAACCGAAGTTTGAATGCTTTGTTGTTTTAAAAGGTAGTGCGAAAGCGTCATTCCATAATTCAATAAATGTGTTATGACTCATTTGGCACACATTATGGAATACGTGATAGAAGTTTTAACGTTTGATTATATTGGTTCTATTAGGTTAAATTAGTCTAAAGGCGTCCAATATCATTCCTGAATTAATTAAACCGAAATGTTGAGTTTCCTCAACGTAATTATAATGACGGATTTCCCGTTCACTCTGTGTTGCGTGTCTCACAGCCGTTCTTTTTTAAGGTTCGGCCGACAACGAGTGATATGTTGCAGTCTTGTCCTCGTTTTCCTATCGGGATTCGCGTCAGCATGGGCACCAAATTATTATGTGTTTGCTATTCTACGATTCATCCAGATAATGACTTCAAGAGGTGTTTACATATCGTCATTCATTCTAGGTTAGTATATAGCTCCCGTTGGTCTAGTGAGACCATATCACAAGACTACCGTATTCTCATTTTACTTCCTGTGCAATCACCGCGTGATTGATATGGTTAAGTGGCACATACTAGCAGCAAAAATAATAAGATAATTCCTGTTCAAATTTTCAGTGAATTTTGACATTGTTTGTAAACGGCGTTTTGACGTAACCAAGTATGTATTACAACTTCAATAAAAAGTTTACCTAATTTCAACTCTATTGTGTTATTGAAAGAATATCAGGCCATTTTAATGATGAGAGAAAAGGAATGTCTTCACAATTGGAAAACTGCAACATTAATTGCACATTTAGATAAGATGTTATTGAAAGAAGAGGTGTATTAAACCTTGGTTTTATTTCCTTTTCAATTCAATCGAATATAAAGGTGCACTCATTTTCAACCTTACTGGAAATGAGTCAACATTAATAATGCTACATATTAACACTACTATTCGTGTTAGTAATGTGTCGTCTCTTCATACGTATCATTGACATGAACAAGATGGCAATAACAAAACAACAAATTGTGTTTTCGCACACAATCGGAAACATCTTGGTACTGAATATTTTCAATTGCATATACTTATCCCTACGTTGTCCCCCACAGTGCATAGCTAGAATGAAAATTCATTCACTTGTTTATAAACTTATATTTTGTTCACTAACCTCAGTGTTTCTGTATGTATACAAACTATGTAAAGAATGTGGTAATTGAGTACGTAAGTTATTTGAACCATTTCTGATTTTAGCTATTGAATTGGTTGGACCTTCCAAACGTCAGTGGGCCGGGTTTCTGTTCAATTATCCTTACTCGGCCGGAATCGCAATGTTGGCGGGGATAGGATATGGTCTCCGTCACTGGAAATATATCCAAATTGCTTGTTCAGCTCCTGTTCTGCTGTTTTTGATATACTGGTGGTATGTTAAAAGTATCAAATTTGATCAAACAATACCGTGCATGTCTACGCCGAATGAATCTCATAGGTTGCTCCGTTTGCTCCATTTTAATCTTCTAGAATCGCTTTATTTCGGAGTATGTCCTCTGATTCCAGAAAGAAAATGTCAAGTTGTCAAACTGTTTGATATAATCTATAGAAAACGTTTCTAGTAAATTATTAATTAATTAATCTATACTAATCATTTTCTTGTACCAAGTCTATTGCCTAATGAACCGTTTTATGTATTACACTTTTGCCATAGAAATATCGGATTCTATCAACTTGATAAAACTGATATCTTACACACTGTGACAAAGATCAAAGTGATATTTTCACAGTCTTTTTTTTCGGTATTGATCAATCATGACGGTATCCTCTATTCGCTGCATTCAAAGGCAACGATTTTTTGTTCATATTCAAATGAAGCGACGGTAGTATAGAATAGGTGGTTGTTCACATACTTTAGTATTTACATAAATATACAATTAATAACATTTTTATAAGCAATCATACCAGAACATAGCAGAAAACGTCGGAATTGCGTTAAGTGTCCCAATCAAATGACGCGCAGTCATGTTTTCAAGCATGACGTTATTAGAATATGGTGCTAATTATATGTATATATATACGCTTCTGATTCTCGCCTTTTTTTATTGCATTCCATTTTTTGTTTTATGTTTCAAAAATTTAACGAATAGAAATTTAAATGGTGTCTTCAGGCAGCACTCTTTAAAAAAAATCCTAATACTAGTCACACTGGTTACATATATTTGTTATAACTGAAGACACCTTGAAATATCCTCTATATACACATATTACATCATGTGAACGTTCTTGTTCGTAAGTATAATCAGATGATATTTACTTCTATATATGACAATCCTGTTTCTATCACTTTATTGAAGGATCATTCCTGAGTCCCCTCGTTGGCTAATCAGTCATGGAAAGGTAGAACAGGCAAGGACAACTATATTAAAAATGGCTGCTTCCAGTAAAACCGTGAATTGCGTCCCTTCGCACGAGAACATGGTCGAAAAAATTGATAGAGCTGTACAAGAACATAGTATGATGGATTATTTTAAACGCCGTTCCCTTCTATGTCAATCCTTGGTTATATTTTTCAATTGGTACGTATTCATTCTTTGTACGCGTGCATATTGTTGATGCATATATGTTAATATACTAAGCAATGAATACTTCTAATGATATTCAGGCAATCAATTATTTATAGTCGTATATACTGGTAGGTTCTGTATCTTCAGCCGTTTATAACCTCTGTATTTACGGTCGTAGAGGAGCTCTGTATTTACGGTCGTAGAGGAGCTCTGTATTTACGGTCGTA